TGTATGTATGGTTTCTTAGGCGAACAGTGGTGAGCGTATAGATTTGGTGTCCACTTTAGATACCGGACATAATGCCTCCGTAGGCCTGTATAAAGGTTACGCGGAGCTGCGTGTAGGTTGTAGAGGGGATTCGAAGGATTAATCTCCGAACTCATTTCTTGGACCATTCGGGCAAGTAGACACACTGGTGGTCAGCAGGAAACAAGGGAATATCATCCTTGTATAATTCCTGTCTGGTAGTACATTCTCGCATTCCCTACTAGCCACCAGTAAGTAGAGGAAGAGTGCTAGGGGGAGCCGTGTCGGGAGGGGAAGTTTCAGGTTTGGGTTTTGCTGCAGGAGACTAGGGGAGTCCTAGGAGAAGCCTGAGCTAAGAAGGGAGTCTTAGAAGAAGGTGTTCAATAATCCTGTCAGCTTAGATTACAACAGCACCCCCCTCCGACCTCTGCTTCAAGCGTGCGCAGCGATGGTTGAGGTCAGGTTTGGAGGGTCAGTAAGCTGGCATTTTATGGAACAGTGTTGCAGGAAGATGGCGTAAGAGGGCACCATAAAGCATCCAAATTCCTATTCAGGACAAGCAAACTGTAAGCACGGTGAAAGTCTTCAGAATCCCTGCGTCATTCCCTTCTGCTCTGCGTGTACCTCTGCATGCTCTCTCCGGAATTCCTTGTCATATTCTTGCAGATTCACCCTCAATCCATCCCTTCTGTGAGGACGAAGCATCACGCTGAGGCCCACGGCGAGATTGTCTCTGTGCCTTATGGCATCTTATGGCACCTATGTGGAGTGTCGCAAATTGATATGCGTTGTTTTGGGGTTCGCCAATAAGGACTCTCAGATTTTGTGAGTTTAAAAGGGGTTAGGTGCCGATGTGCCTTAACTTCAGGAAGGCTCCTCGGTGAAGGGGCTATACTAAGGGATTACATACAGACTCCTATAGGGGTCCATGCCTCTATTCTCCAGTGCTAGGAATAGCTAGTTAGCCTGAGGATGTAGCAGGAAACCTCGAAGACCATCCCTGAACCTGGAAGAGAAAGACCGTCTGGTTTCAGGAACATGTTCCGAAGCAATCCCTACACTGCTCCTTGGTGAAGGGGCGTTTTACGTACAATCTCCTCATGACCCTGAAGAAGCAATACTACGCTCAATCCCACCAAAGATTACTTGTTGGCAGTTTCCATAAATGGGAGGGCCCACTATGGAATCCTAAAGCTATAATCCTGAATACGTGGACCCACCCAAAAAGGGGCAGAACGGAGTCAAGTGTCTCCTCTATCCCTCTTAAAAAAGCCCCTTACA